CAAAAATACTAAATATCATTATTATCCAAAAATATTTATTATATTATTATTATTATTATTATTTTATTAAAAGAAAATATGGGGTATTACACCAATGATTGGTACTCTTCCCTCTCTGTTTCGTTTTACAAATAAGCCCAAAAATCTGTTAGGTAATCGATTACCTTCACATTGGTAACCGATTACTAAGAAGGGTAATCGATTACCCATGCACTGGTAATCGATTACCAATCGTAAACAACAGCTTTAAGTCACGAAAAGAGCCGTTTTTGTCTCATTGCTTTCAAAAGACAAACAAATTTTTTTTTACACAGAACCGTCTCCTCTCTTTTTGCCTTCTTGAACACTTTTAAAACCCCAAGATTGAGAGCACATCTAAAGCCTTTTCCGTCTTCGATTCACCACAGGTTTGTCTCTCTCCCTTTCTTCTTTTTTTTTTTTTTTTTTTTGGTGGGTACCCTTTCTTGGTTACTGCTCATTTGGGTTTCGGATTTGCTTGACTGTGAAGAGTTTTTTTGCTGAAATTTGGGTTCCTGCCCTATATTCATCATACAGATTATATTATTCTACTTGTGCAGATTATATTCGGGAAAATGGGAGATGGTGTTAATCTATGTGAAATTTTTTTTTGCTGAACTATTTGGGATTCCTTTTTAAATCGACCCTTATCTCAATCGGTTGATTCACATTTTTTTTCTTTCTTCCCTGCTCCTACGATTTCTGCAACATATTGAATTTTTTTTTTTCTCGGCTTGCTGTGAATCCATTTTATAGGATGAATGCTTTATTTCTTATTGCTTATGTGTGTCATCTGTGCTTTCCTCCCTTAATCATTTGTGCTTCTTTTCTCCTTGAATCGATTATCCATGGCTGCCTGTATCCCGTAGGTCTCTGTTTCACAAAATTTGATGGCTAAACTATATTTTTTTTTTGCTTCTTTTCTGCCTAAATTGGAATTTGGACTGACTACATTATATTTCTGTATTCATCGTGCCTTGTGCCTGCTGCTCACTTCGGTCAATTTGTGGCTCTATGTGGCTGTCTCATTTTTTTACTGCTAATCTACATGCCCATTTTTCTAATTTTATACGGACCTTCATTTCACATGAATTTTCTCTTCACTGTTTGACCACTCATTTACCATTCTCATTTATATCATGTGTCATACTGTGTAAATTCTCATCCCAAGGCCGCCATATTCTGCATCGATTGGGTTTGCTTTTACATTGGTCTTATTTACATTAAGTACTCATGCCTTAGTTTCATGGGATTAATTTCATCTTGTTGATACTATGCATTTGTGTAATTCATTATGCCTATGCTCATGTTCTTCATTCCCACATTACAGCCTCTGTTTCATTGCAAAATATTTATATGTTGGGACTCTAACTTTGTGAAATTCCATTTTGTAGGATTTTCATTTGCTCTCTCATTTGAATCCATGGCTTCATCATCTAACCCCATTCGAAAAAGGCCCCGCGGTTCATGTCTTCATGGAAAATACTTCTCTACAGCCGCTAAATACGCAACGTTCAAGCAACATTATGCCACCCGCCAAGTCATTGCTCCAAAATACTTGGACATACAATTCTTGAGCGATGAAGACTTTGAAATTTGTGATCTCCTGACTCATGCTCGAGTCCTCCGGTTGACACTCCTCAAAGAAAAATATTCAGAGGATATGGTTCGGGCCTTCTACTGCACTATGAGCTTTGCAAATGACACACTCAAGGCCGACATCAGGGGCAAATTATTTTCTGTGCCACCTGAAGAATGGCCTTGTATACTTGGTCCTACCTATGCCGGACACAAGCTTGGTGAGTATGCTTTCCCTGAATATAACAAATATGCCTTTACGCAGTCAATTCTGGAACCCGGCATCATAGTTACTCAATCAAAGTTCAGCGTCTCTCTGTTAACTATGAACAACCGGATCCTGCATTATGTAGTCACTCACATGTTGTCACCGCGACCCTCCAACTACTCTCGGGTGCTTGATGCTGATATCTTTCTGATGTGGGTTATCCGTTCTGGAATTAGTTTCAATTGGCCCTACTATATCTGCTCTCAAATGATTAAATCTAAAAACTCTTCTGGTGCACTTCCTTATGCTACTGCAATTATTAAGATTCTGCGTCATCAGCAAATCTTTCTGGATGGTGAGACTTTGTCCGACGAATTGAACTGCCTTGGCATGCATTTGCTGGCCCAAATGCAAATTAAAAAAATTAATGGCATAGGGTGTAAAACAACTGCTCATCCTGAAGCCGCCGATGCCCCTGCTGATATTGCCGAGGACCATCCTCCACATGCTCCTCTGGCTGATGCTCCTCCTGGTGCTGACCCTCATACGGACTCTTCTTCCTCCACTGATCATACTTTGGGTTCCATTCTCACATCTCTTAATCGGTTAAACACTATTATGAAATCTGGCTTTGCTATTGTGAACTCTAGGCATGCTAACATGGAGCTTCGTCTGAAGCGCATTGAAGACTATCTTCACATTCCTCCTCTTCCTTCTCTACCACCACCGCCTCCACATGACTCTGATGACTTTTAGTCCCTACTATTTATTTTATGCTTTTGGACTTATTTTATGCTTCTATTTTGGTATGCTATTTTTGGATATTTTGCATCTCTAGGAAGCTAGCTTTATGGACTCTAGTTGATTAGTTTATGGGCTATTATGCCCTTTTGGTTTTTTATGTTTTTCTTCTTGCTTCTTGCATGCATTATTTCACGCTTTCTATTTATCCACTCATTCTTTTTTATGTTGCCAAAGGGGGAGAAGGATACGTAAATTGAGAATCATAAGCATATATTAAGGTAAAAAAGGGGAGAACAAAATTCAAATATAAAAGGGAGATTAGATGACACTTTGTATATCAATCATATATTAAGGGGGAGTTTCAATACTATATTTGTCTAAATACATGCTTTACTAATCTTCTTCTCAATTTGAGTTTGTCATCATCAAAAAGGGGGAGATTGTGGAACCAATGCACTCTACGAAAAGAACATAAAGGTTCAACGATTTTGATGATAACAAACAAAGCATGAAAAGAAAGCTTCAAGGTGCAACCATAAAAAAGAATTCTAAACAAGATCAAAGACTCAAGCTTCAATTGAAGTCTCTAAGTCCAAACTCAGAGTAATATACCATAGGACTTAGGATTATTTGTAAAATTGATTCCTTACAAGAACGAAGCTCAAAGTATTTTTTAAATACATGCATTAAATCATCGTTTGACATTCAAATACATTCCTAGCATGAAAATATAATTTTCAATGTTCATAAAATGTTTAATCAATTTTTGAAACTAATGTGAATCAAGAGAAAACCATTTTAGGGCGAAATCCAACCTTTCAACAGGTTGGTAATCAATTACCCAATACATGGTAATCGATTACCCTTCATGGTAACCGATTACCCACTCAATGGTAATCGATTACCTACTGTACAGAGACAAAAATAACGACTATAAAACGGCTAGTTTGCGAAAATAAGTAGGAAAAAGGCCATGGGCCCCCTCTATAAATAGAGACTACTGTCCCATTGATGGGACACACTTCTTGATCATTATTACTCATTAATTCTCATCTCATTTGCATTATTCTTGTCTTCTTGATCATAAACTCTATTTGAGTTTTATTCTTGTGAGAGTGTCATATACCATTGTTCTTCAACTTGTATTATTTGTACTTTGAGAGTACTTAGCCATTATTAAACACCTTCCTTTGATTTATTAAGTAGCTAGGGGAGTGAACCCTATACACTTGAAAGGTCACCAAATTCCTAAGAAAATTTGGAGTGAAAAAGTGTAAGGCATCAAGAGCCCGAAGTCTTGAAAGATTGTAGTGGTTTGTCAAGCACCCTCAAGCTTGATAGTTAGTGAAAAGAATTGATCGAGCGGCTTCAGTCTGGACGTAGGTCACGGTGGTGGTGACCGAACCATGATACATCTAGTTTGCAATTTCTCTATCCTTAATCTCTTTATTTAAGCATTAAAATTTCATTTTAGATTGTCTTTACATATTCACTAGCTTACTTTGTTGTTCTCTACTTGCTCTTACACTTAGATTTTTCCTTATTAAATCACTTCATTGAAGAAATAGTCTTTAAAATATAAAAGGAGGTACTTTGCGAAAAGATTTTGTAAAACTCAATTCACCCCCCCTCTTGAGTATTGAAGCCACTTGTCCAACAGAGACCTCTAGCGGCAGGAGGCCAGAGCTTAGCTGATTTATATGCTGTTATGCTGATTGTGTTGGATGCTGGATTATGTTTGTTGTTATCTTGCTGATAGCTTTATGAGTATGATGACTATTGTTGAGTCTATATTGGGCTTGTTGCCTTATTTGGTGAGCATGTGGATTGTCCATGCCACATTGACTTGAGTTTATGTTTTTAGTTGTTTCAAATTGTTTAATTGTATCAGGATATTCTCCGAACTACGTGTTGTAGATCCGTGAGTAGATACACATTTTATATGAGGTATTTCAGTTAGCTGTCTTTTGCAATTAGATACGGGCAATGTTTTGGAAATAAATTAAGTAATTCAACATGGTAATGATAATGACGTCATAATTGAAAGTAAAAAGTTATTCTGCATTTTTACATTAAGCGTGGCTTAATACGATGACATGTTAACAAACCGGGTTAACACGGGGTGTTACAGAACTCATCTGAAAGTGAAGAGAGAATCTAAAACTGAATTACAATCTATTGTTAAATAATCATGCTCTACACAGTGCACACATATAAATAGTATATGCTGATGCAAAAGGGAGGCCAGTTGTACATAACAGAAACTAACAGAGACTAACGGAAAGCTTACTGTACTAACTGTACAAACTGAAAATAACTAACTTAGTTAAAATGATATCTATACTCAACACCCCCCTCAAGTCGGGAGGTGGATATCATAGAGTCCCAACTTGGACAAAAATTCTTGAAAAGGAGCAGGATGAAGGGCCTTCATAAAAGTGTCTGCAAGTTGTTATTTGGTAGAAACATGAAGCAAATGAATCAATCCTTTGATGATTTTCTCACGTGTAATGTGGCAGTCAAGTTCTATATTGTTGTCGTGCTCATGAAATGTTAGGTTGTGTGCTAAGTGTATTGCAGCTTGATTATTGTTGTAGATCATAGCTGGACCAGAAATCGGAATGTGAAGATCATGAAGGAGATAAGTTAGCCACTGCACCTCACATGTCAGAGTGGCTAAGGCACGATACTCCACTTCTGCTGATGAGCGACTTACGATACTTTGTTTCTTGGACTTCCACGTAATTAAAGAGGATCGTATGAAGACATAGAACCCTGTTGTAGACTTACGGGTATCTGGACATGTGGCCCAATCTGCGTCTGTGAAGCCAGATAGAGTTAAGGAATTATGAGAAGGAAAGAAAATACCTTTGCCTGGAGACCTTTTGAGATATTTTAGAACTCGAATGGCTGCATCAAAATGAGGCTTCGTTGGGTGAGCTACAAACTGGCTAAGCTGTTGAACAGTAAAAGAGATGTCAGGTCTGGTGTTTGTAAGGTACAGAAGACGCCTAACAAGCCGACGATTAGCTGCTGACTCATGATAAGGTGCTCCTTGATTCTGACATAGACGAAGAGTAGGCTCCATAGGAGTAGAAACATGTTTAGCTCCAGTCAAACCACCATCAGATAGCAATTCAAGAGTATATTTCCTTTGATTCAGCAAAATACCACGTTGAGAGTGAGCTACTTCAAAGCCTAAGAAGAACCGAAGGGGTCCAAGGTCTTTGATACGAAACAAATTATCAAGGTGACCTTTAACATCTTGTATTTCAATCATGTCATTGCCATCTAAGACTATGTCATCCACATACACAAGAAATGCAGTGAATGAATCATGATTTTGTTTGGTGAATAAGGAATGATCAATAAAGGATTGTATGTAACCAAGAGATATAAGTTCAATGGATAATCTAGCATTCAATTGGCGACTTGCTTGTTTAAGCCCATAAAGGGATTTCTCAAGCTTGCAAACCTGAGTTGGCTTAGGGGGGATAACACCCTCTGGTATAGACATATACACTTCTTCAGAGAGATCTCCATGGAGAAAGGCATTATTGATGTCCAGTTACTCTAAGAACCATCAACGTGCGGCTGCAACAGCTAAGAGAAGTCGAATTACGATCAACTTGGCAACTGGGGAGAAAGTTTCAAAGTAATCTACTCCCTCCATTTGATTATATCCCTTTTCCACGAGCCTTGCTTTGTACCGAGCAAAGGAGCCATCTGCATTATGCTTTATGTAATGACCCAAAATTTTAAAATTAAATCAATGGAGTCGCCACCAATTTTACTTAATTTGAAAAAATTGGAAAACCTTTTATTGCAAACTGATCTCTTAAAATTTTAAATCAAGGTTCGGGAGTCTAATTACGCACAGAGAAGGGTGAAAACTTAATCCTACTGCACTCTTGACACATCCGTTTAAAAACAACTACCTTAAGTTAATTGTGCGAATTTATTAATAGCTTTTAAAAATATTTGATTTATCCCTTAAAATAAATATAATTATTTAAGAAGAAGGAAGACTAAAATATTAAAATTTTATTTTAGCTTGACGAAAAGAGTTATGCTCCGACGTATCTTCCGGTGCTGTGACGCCCTCCCTTGTATGCATCCAAGGGAAGTGTCTTCTAAATCTTATTAGAGTTGTAACGTTACATATTAAAATCTGAAAATTCGCTTTTAAGTCATGTACAAAAACTTGTATCGAAATCTGGTTTCAAAGAGAAAACAACAAGAATTTCTTAAAACCCTTTGCTTGATGGAACAATGAATTTTTCAGAAAACAGTCTCCCTTGCAAAAATCGTATAAAATCGTGCTTACACGTTTTTGAAAATATTCTTTGACACAAAGAAAATAGACATCTGGGGCTTTACGTACATATAAAATATAGCTCATTCGGAGATCTGTAGCCCCAAAAACAGAACTCGCAAGATGCATAAAATCAATGAAATTTTTACAAAAACCTACCTGACTTGCAAAAATCCTATAAAATCGGGCTTACAAGCTTTTGACATAAACTTTATATAATTTGAAAATAGACATATGAGGCTTTACGTACATACAAATTACATTCCAATCGGAGGTGTATAGCCCCAGAAACAGAACTCGCAAAGTGCTCAAAAAATCAGAGTAAAATTCCGAATTCACTACAGCAGAAATTGTTTTTGCAAATCAACTACCAGAATTACATACGTTTCAGGCAGAATATACAAATCCAAATACAGCAAGGTAAGACACTTTTCCAATATTTTCCAGTCTCATAAAATATTACATCATCTTCGAACGGGCAGCACACAACCATCAAACAGTAGAGTTTCCAAACAGCAGAATCAAATAGGATAAATCTAAAACAAATACTTCATCATGTGCTTCTTCACCCTCCTGTAATTTATAAAAATTGAGCCCCAAAGGGGTGAGAAAATCTCAGTAGTGTGGCAGAAAAACAAGTAGTGCAACAATATTAGTCTAGATACAGAATTTCCAAAACAGTCGCATCATCAATTAATTTCCGAACAAATACTAAAATGTAACTAGAATGTGTATATAACGCCAGAATACTAATCAGAATGCGTATATAACACCAGAATACTGTATGTTCATAGCACTACGGTGCACATACTAGCTAACACAGTGGAGATTCCAATTGGCCCTAACAGGGGGGAATTCCAACTGCGACCTATGCGAACTGAGCCACGGTTCCTTCTCCCTGGTACTTGAGGGATGCCTATATGATGCATGCTCAAACATGTGCTTACTTTTATCAAATATTTCGGTTTCCAAAACTGAATGCATAATGTTGTATGATATGATATGATTTGCTTCGCACACACATGGAAAAATGCAGTCTTATGATGTTCATGAGCACAACTAAATATCAGAATCAGAGAATCATAGTTTCCATGACTATGACAGCAGAAATTCGAACCAAATGTGTTTTCAAAACAGAATTCCAATAGGTCCAAATTCAAAAGACAGAGTACAATATTTTCCAACAGAATACTTACATATACAGGGACACACGAGCAACAGTTCAAAAATCCAAGTACTAAACTAATAGTCACAAAAGGTAATCCATCGAACACTTACTTGTAGGCTTTAACTTTTTAATCAAACATCACCAATCCAGGCCACTCTTTTAGAGGCTTGGACACCTAAACAATAAAGTACCAAGATCAGAATTTTCATCTATTTTTCCAATAAAATACATGTACTTTTCATTCTTCCTAATCCTTGGATTTACTCGAATTTCATGGTTCTGACACTAATGAATTTTCTTCCTTGGGAAATTTAACCATTGTCATTTAGTAACAAAATCCAAGGTTTCCTATACCTGTAAGTTCGGGTTTCTAGGCCACCACTTAAGGTTTCCATTCTCCATTAACAAGACACTACCCACTCGACTTAGGCATGAGCTAATAGGTCATTTAACATGCTGCCTACATGAGTTATAAACACCGGCAAGGCTTGGTTCAAATCGGATTTCATAGTTCTTATACTAATTTAATTTTTCTAACATAGAGTTTATTTTACCAATAGATAGCAAATGACATAACCATGATTTTCCATGCATGTGGGTTCGGTTATTTAGTCATTAACTAGGGCTTCCAATTTTCATTTACACAACACTGCCTACATCACTTAGGCATGGACAATTCGTTCATTAGTAGGCTGTCTTCATCACTTTGAACACATGCAAAGTCTAATATTTTTTTTTCTAACCCAAGGAGCAGTCCAGCAAAATTAAGGAAAGCTATTTTCCAAGCTCCCAAGTCAGATTTTTGTGCTTGCATGCACTAGTTCCTTGAGCGGTTCAAAGGAACATAAACAAAGGAATAGGGCTGACATAACTAACTCCCTAGTACATACATGCAGGCCGAACAGTGAAGGGAATGAAGAGCTAAAAATTTGGTTTTTACCTCCTTGCATGTACACCACAATTCGCCAATCAGCTAGGGAAACAGCCACCAAATTTTTTGAGCAGCACCTTCTCCCTTCTCCATTCCAAGAGCTTGAATTTCAAGCTGCATGCAGTGAAGAATAACTCCATCAAACCGAATCAGGTGGTGAGAAGAAATGAGCAGATGAAGGCACCTTACCTCCTTGAATTTATGGTTCAGCCGAACTATAAAGAAGGGAGAGAATTGTGATCTTAGGTTCTTGAGTTCTTCCCTTAGAGCCTTGTGACATGAGAAGGAGATGAGAAGAAAAATAAAAGAGCATGCAAGCTTGCTGCTTGATGTACGGTGGAACAAGGAGAAGAATAAAAGAAGATGAGCTTTGGTGTTTAGGGTGCTCTTCTTTGGAGCTTGCGGCCTTGTGGAAGAGGGAATGGCTGGGTTTGATTATGATTAACGTGATAAGCACTCATCTTTGGTGTTCCCTTACCATGTGTATGGGGAGGAGGGAGTGAGGGTTCAAGCTGATCATAAATTTTGACTCAACTGCAAGCAGAATCAGATTGTTCTATCTTTGTTGGCTTGCGGCTTGGAGGGGAAAATAATGTGATTAAATTCTGAACACAAAGCAACACACAAACTCAGGCTTGACTCCTCCTGTTAAGCGCATGAGGATAGAAAGATAAGAAGAGATATGTGTTTGCTCATTGGCCAATCAGGAGCAGCATGCAGATTTTGTGTGAGATAAACTAAAGGTTCATGGGTAGGAAAGGTTTGGGCTGAATAAAGTCCTCCAATAGTAGACTTGGGTCGTCGCTCATGGGAGAGAATTTGGGTTGATTAAAGAACTCCTCAATGGCACTTGGGTTGTCGCCCTTAAAGAATCCAAGAGTCTAAAGAATTAACTTCCTAATAGATTTATTACTTCATGTAATCCACTAAGCATTAACAATGATTTTAGTATGTTGTAATTAAAATTAATCCTACCCTAATTATACATGTAATTCGACTGCAAGACATGCATCCATATTCCTAATTAGGAATTTAAATAAATTCCTAATCATGTGGGATGTTACACTCTCCCCACCAAAATTTGAAGTTTGTCCCCAAACTTCATCCTACCATCCCGAAAACTGCTTAAGTCGAATACCTAACACAGTTTCATCCATGCAATACATTATATTACCTTCAGATCGGCATTCATAAAAGTCATCCATCATTAATTCGGGGTGTTACAAACAGATTGTACTTTACATGTTCATTAGATACATAACACAATTTTACCCACATGGAAAGGAATGATAGGTTTTCCTAAGCTTAAAAAAAAATGTATGTTTTCTTTTCAAACAACATCGAAGATCATACTGCAACAAGGATGGAGTAAAACATACATTTAATCTTACTAAACAAAGAAACTCCAGCTATCCAAAAATTACAATGAAGCTTAGGGCTTTAGTATATAATTAGTTGGCAAACTAGACAAATCCATTTACAAACTACTTTTTTATTATATAAATTTTTATACTCGGTAGTCGGAAGAAAACAACCACCTAGGTCTCCACTTTCATGATCTCTTTTTAAGACCCAAAGAAATCCTATTCTAGTGCCTAAATAAGTTATGAAACCGGTTCTATGCCTGTATACATTTGTAATTATCCATTGACGTTATTATTTATGTTCCTTGTTTCTTTATGTGTGTCAATATCAATAACATGTCACCTGCCCTTTTATGTATTCATGCATAATACCATATAATCATCTTGTTTACTTCATCCTTTGTGTCACGATAATTTAGTCATAAAAATTGCACTTCATTACCTACAAGATGACTCTAGAGTTTTATGCATAATTGGTTGAAAAGTTAACAGTTCAATTTACAAAGTTACTTTACAATTGGTACACAAACAGAGTTTCACGATTCTGAATTAGACAAATTAAACAAACAAGACAACACCTGCCTATTACTTGCTCAAAAAGAGAGGCTAATTAACTAGGATCCATAGTTACAAATATTTCATCTTTGCAGTGTACATGTTACAAATTAGAAGTGCCACCACTCCTAACTTACTCCTTACCTATGATAAAATTTTAGTTCACTAACTAAACACATCACAT